CGTTCCCAAACCACCTTTACTCCCCCCCCCCTTCCCCCCGCCAAATTTCCCATCGCTATATTGGATCTACGGCGGCTAACCCATTCCTCGTTCTCTTGACATCCATTCTGGAATCCAGGATTCGAAGACTGTAATGTGTGATGTCTGTTACAGGAACATTAGTATATAAGACGGACGATATGAAGATTCGGGGTTATTATTCGCCCACGTTCATCGACTGAGTGTCCTCCGTCAACTAATCTATTCACGCCGCTACTAGTGATATCTGACTTTGGTCAAAAAGCTGACTTACAATTTCTATTGCTCATCAAATCTGCCCATCCCCCCTCGTTTGGGCCGCTCCAGTTTCCAGTACTCTCGGAAAGAGCGCTTCCGGAAATACCAGTACGACTAAGCGGCAGTGGTTTTCCTTGCGTACGCATGGCTGATGCATTTTTCTCGGCCCAATCTTCGAGCGAATGGAAACCAATACGATCGAGCGATGGTGCTGCACCTATAGTACCTCTGGCTGTACCACCAATTCGTCTATACGTAACGTATTTCTGCGCAATCGGCACATCGGCAGCCGAAAATAATTCGATATACCTAAAATGCAAGGAAACAGCTGTTCAACGAATTCCCAAACTTCATATGCTTGAATTTTACAGCAGCATTTTTTAACATTTCTTTTTACTCTATTACTATTAGCATTCCTTTTTTCCCTTATTAACACACTTTTTTGCGAGATTTCAATATCCGCATGGACAGGCTTTAACAACAAACGGCTTCTCCACCCATTAAAAAGTACAGTGAAGTGGAATTTATCATCATCCTGTTTCTGACTAACATGTACTGTCATTGTTTACAGCTTAGGGATGAAACAGAGGCAGCTTCTTTTTTCACATACTACTCTTCACATGATCCTTTTACATGATAAATGGTTTACATACATGTCCCACTTAACAATCTCCTTTTTACCCCTTTCAAAGTATTTCGACAGCCAAGCTAGGACCCTTCCTGATTGGTTTTGGGTATCGCAACCTGTCAAGATCATAGCAGCTGCTTTCATGGTGTAGCGGTGTAATTTGTTCAAGGAGGAGCA